CCGGGCCCTCCAGCCCGTAACAAGTCGCTATACTGGCTGAGCTATCCTGACTCCAAGAGAATATAGATCTGCACTATTTATTCCGACAATCCAAAGAACAGTATTGGAAATAAGCCAACTTACAAAACATGTTGAATTTATACACGAACTCCCATCTTTATGGCAGAGGGAGATGGAAATTATAGTGGCTATTGTTCTGTTCTTAACTATAACAATATGTAACCTACTTCAGGAACACCCCAAATGTTTAAAAATATTGTCACGTGTCTCAGAAACTAAGACGCGGGTTTGGATTAGTGAATCGGTTTACTGGATCTTCACTAGTTTTAACTACAATTAGTTCTAACGCTCTCAAGCTTGCTGTAACTACGACACAAAATCTTCGATGTCTGTTAACACTTCACAGCTGGATCCTCACAACTCCTTTCCGTGACGGCTTCTTGTCCTTGGCTCACGGCTTCTCACCTTTGACTGACTTCAAGTCAAAGTCAGAGTCACATTACGATTAACGGTCAGTCAGTTAACAAGTAATGGGGCTCATGACCAGATATTTATTATTGTTTGACAGTTATGGTCTCGTTTCAATTTTGTGGGGCGCCCTCTCTGACGAGAGGACGGGTCTGTCTTTTGTATATGCTGCTTGCCCTTGCCATTGCAGTCTTTCTCAGGTCCGGTTCCCTTGGGACCCGCGACCATATTTAACTCTCTCAGATTTGAGACTTCCCTTTTCGTCGCCTCCTACGGCACGCAGGGTCACGGTGGAGGTATTCGACCCCGCCTCCACAAGGGGGGGGGGCTGATTGAATTGAACTATATCAGCTAATAGCGAAAGCAATAGGAGGTAGGGACCTCATAGAAAATGACGCGTCCACCAATTTTTCTATTGCTGCGGAAATGTGTTTACCGAGTCGTTGCTTAGCAATGAAAGAAGGGACACATAGACTGATGGAAGAGACTTATACAATAAGCCGTTTAGATTAGTTTCAGCATTCAAAATTTGATAGGGTGAGATACACGGACACACAGACACGATGGAGATCGCATAAGCCTATTTTAGGTAAGTAGACCAAAAATTGATACTAAATTCAGTTCAAGCAAGGGGTTGAATACCTCCACCGTAGCCCTGCGAGTCGTAGGAGGCGACGAAAAAGGGAGTCTCGAATCTGAGAGTAAAATATGGTCGCGAGGTCCACGGGACCACAGAACCGTCGTCTTGTCAGAGAGAGCGCCCCATATCAACAAACCCGCAACTGTCTAAAGGCGCGTCCACATTACTCGTGCTCGTGCTCGCCAGGCTTCGGCGCGTGAGGATCCGTATATTTACTCGTAGTGTGTATAGGCTGTAGTCGTATTTTAATTTATTGGCTATAGTTTTTAAATTAACAAAAATTTGCTTGTCTCGTGACTTGTCATATCGTCCACATTACTCGCGAGTCACACGAGCACGAGTAATGTGGACGCGCCTTAAGAGTAATAGAAATCTGGTCGTAAGCCAGTTAATTTCTTGAAATGCTTGGCAACAGCAAAGAGCTAATTGCAGGGGAGTACTGTGTTAATAGTAACAATATTTACACACCATGTCTCACAGTTAGTAGAACTTCACGACAGACTGTCCACATAATTCTTCATCTGAAAGCCGTGCCATAGCTCAGGCAGTTAGTCGCCGGCTTCCCACCGCGGCGGCCAGAGTTCAAGCCCAGGTCAGCTCATGTGGGATTTGTGGTGGACAAAGTGGCACTGAAGCAGGTTTTCTCTGAGTTCTTTGGGTTCCCCTGCCAATTCCGATTTCATCGACTGCTCCACACTCATCATATCATCCGGGGTGAGCTACAATAGGCCAATTAGTGGCCGACATACCAAGTGGACTCAGTCTCACCCTACCTCAAGAAATTAGGAGGAAGAAACACTACTTCATCTGAAATAGCTTTATGTTAAAATATGACTAGTATAAGTCCGTATATTTAGCAGGTTATATGGCTGCGCCATAGCTCAAGCGGTTAGTCGCTGGCTTCCCTCCTCGGCGGCCCGGGTTCGATTCCGGCTCTGGTCAAGTGGGATTTGTGGTGGACAAAGTGGCGATGGGGCAGGTTTCCTCCGAGTTCTTCGGTTTCCCCTGCCAATCTTCATTCCACCAATTGCTCCACAATCACCCTCACCTATCATCTGGGGCTGGTACAATAGGCCAGAAGTGGCCGCAGTACAAGGGACTTAGTCCCACCCCACTAGCAATAAAAAAATAGCAGGTTATAGGTATTTCCAATATTAACATTTGGCTGTTTATGGCCACATCACGCGAATTTCGCATAAGGACATGTTAAAATTCGGGTAAATTCCGATGGTAAGTGTTCTAAATATCAATGTTCTGTGAACATAATTTAAAGCTGAAAACCCACTGAAGCGACTAGTCGCGAGCGGCTAGCCGCTCTTTGTCGCGCGCGTCCGTTAGTTGTACACATTAGGCGTGCGACAGCTCTGCCGCCTGTGTGCCGCGTTCAAAAATTTAACCGCTCGCGGCTCATAAAGCAATACAAATAACGGCCGCGTGCGACAACACTCGACAAACTGCTCGCGGCTTGTCGCTTCAGTGGGTTTTCAGCCTAAACCTTGGCAGGACGTTAGCTACTCGTACTAACTCATATTACAGGAATCTGACGAAGCAGTACTCGCCCCTTCAGACAACTGGCTGGACGATGTTTGCCTTTTCGTATACAGCAATATCTGTTTATGTCAAGAAATTATATGCAATTAGTAGTTTGTTTTCTCCGTTGGTCTACCTTTTTTCCACCTTAATAAAATGTTATATTTCCATATAGAACCTACGTTTAGGGACTTTCTTCCCTAAATTAATTTCATGTATGCCTTTATGCACGTGTCTGTTTCCAAGAATTTTGTTCATTTCAAGGCCACCATTTACAGGCTTACTCTGCACCAGCTATAATTAGTCTACAGTGATCAAATCAAGGAGGACGAGGGGGGCGGGACATACACAACATATCACTCACTCGTGGAGCTGAGCCCTTCTTGAGAAGCTGCCAATTCTGCAGCTACTCAAGAACTTCCCAGCACTTTATGGAACCCGAAGGTTCATTACTGTGTTCACAAGATCCCTCAACCGGTCCCTATCCTGAGCCAAATCAACCAAATCCTATCTCTCTAAGATCCATTTTAATATTGTCCACCCACCTACGTCTTGGTCTTCCCAGTGGTCTCTTTCCTTCCGGATTTCCCACCAATAATCCATATGCATTTCCCTTCTATCCCATTCGTGCTATATGCCCTACCCATCTCATCCTCCTTGACTTAATCATTCTAATTCTACTCGGAGAAGAGTACAAGTTATGAAGCTCCTTATTATGCAGTTTTCTCCAACCTCCTGTCACTTCATCTCTCTTCGGTCCAATTATTCTGCCCAGCACCTTGTTCTCAAACACCCTCAGACTACGTTCCTCCCTTAAAGTCAGAGACCAAGTTTCACACCCATTCAGAACCCAGGCAAAATTGTCTAATTTTTATGTTTTTAGACAGCAGACGAGAAGACAAAAGGTTCTGGACTGAATGGTAGCAAGCATTATCCGAGTTCAATCTCCTCTTAATTTCCTCCTGAATCTGGTTTTGATTTGTTATGGTCGTTCCCAAATATCTTCACATTTTCAAAACAACTGTAACCTATCTTTATGTCATAATTTTGCTCTGCATTTTGGTGACGAGATAGCAACATACTTAGTTTTCTCTGTGTTATTTTATTGCCAGTGGGGTGGGACTGAGTCCTTTGTACTGCGGCCATTTCTGGCCTATTGTACCAGCCCCAGACGACAGGTGAGGGTGATTATGGAGCAATTGGTAGAATGAAGATTGGCAGGGGAAACCGAAGCACTCGGAGAAAACCTGCCCCAGCGCCACTTTGTCCACCACAAATCCCACTTGACCAGACCCGGGATCGAACAAGTTACACAAAATTCTATGTACCTCTTTACTTTCTACGAAGTTATTAACGTCGAGGGCTCTTTATTTCGGGCCAGGTTATGGAATTAGAAATATAAGTAGCCGTTTAGATTTATTATATTTGATTCCTTCTCGGCTCTAGGGATGATGGTGTGCTAGTAACAATGATATGAACGGGAACTTTGTTGGAAATTATTCAACGGTATGAACGCAGGAATATTTTTTCATAAAAATAAAAAAGGGGAAAAAATTTGCCAGATTTGTCCAAAAATGTGTTTTAGCTTGTTTATTATACCGACATTGACTTCTGTTGTTTATATTTCTTGGAAAGAAAATGTTGTTTTCGGTGTTTTAAACAACAAACTAACCACCAACACTGTTGAAGCAGAACTCCAACGGTTAGCCCCGCCAAAACCCGCCACTGAGCACGGAACTGAGTCAGTTTCATCGAACTCGAATCCTAAGAGCTTATGTCCTTAGGATTAGTTACCCACCTGTCTTCTCGACCTTTTAAATAGACGTTTCTCACACCCAATTTACAGCGTGCTTTAACAATTTCACTCCTCCTAGCCCATCGTACATAGCCTCGTGATCTCGCTGTCAGAACAGTCTACTAGATGACCTGCTTAATAAGGAAGGGCATCGTTATATGTTTTTTTAATTGATCACTTCGTTGTTCTCATGGACAATTTTTGTGGGGGAAAACCTGTCACTTGTCACATCTTCCTTGAAAGATCACTGCTGACTATGAGATAGACAGTGTGGTGATAGTATTGTGATGATTGTGATAGTGACTGTAGATTACATTAATCAAGTATAATGGGGCAACTGTTTAATATTTCCCTCAGATAATGCCGCATCTTACGTGTAACTTTCCTAATCCAGTCCAGTCTTTGCAGCAGCTATAAGTTTGAATTGTTTACTTAAAAACATTCTTTTCCAGCAAGACGAAGCAGACGACGCACACGTGCGCATGAAGTTGCGCAGGAAGTTTGGCGGGCTCCGTTGACACGTCACAGCGACTGCTTGTGTACGTTCCGTTGATTTCCCCGGCACTCAGCTGTTTGTTCCAATTTTGAACGCAGTCGCGTGTTGGAAGCGAAGCGGTCTGGAAGTCATTGGTGCGGTGAAGATTACGTAGAGCCATAAAAATAGAAGCAATGATCTCGCTATCGCACAGTAACGAAAGTTGGAAATTTATCATATATAAATTGAAATAAAATATTAGTACTAATTAAGTTACTTTCCTCTTTATGTAAGCTGTTGGAGTTGAACCCCGTTCGTCTTTTGTGGCCGGGGCTGTAGTTATGTGTCAATGTTATTATTAGCCACATCAGACGCTGGCCGAGGAGCGCTCTAGTGTTAGTCTTGTAGTGACTGTGGTTGACAGTAGGCATTGTTGCGTGTGGGGAACAACAAAATCGGATGCGGATTGTCATGGGGAGCAGGTCGACGCCCCCTGCTGCGACGGCCAGTTCTGACCAGTCTTCACGGGTACTGGACATCAAGAAGGAATCTCCAGATGATGAAATAAAGGTAAGACAAACATTTCTGGATTGATTTATTCTTGAATTGCTTGATAATGTTTTTGTTGTTGTTGTACATAACCTCAATCTGTATAACATCAGGTCGAATGGTAGGATGTGTTAAATAATGACTTGGAAAGAATGTGGAAGGTAGCAGTCGTGACACACTGTAGGGTACTATCATAGCATTACTTGTAGGGAATGAGGATAGCCAGGGAACATTTCTGTTTTCGGGCCAAGATTCGAACCTCACGAATACAAAGCAGCAGTTGTTAACCACTCAACCACAGTCTTCAGTGAAAACTTGTTACATTCGAATATGGCTACTGTTGATCACTTCTGTAATGTTATTATGAGTGGAGATGCCGACAGCAAATCAGTGTGCGGTGCACCTAGAGTTGTTCGTTTCGACAAATAGAAATATAAGTATTTTGTAATAGTTTGTGTGAAAGTCGAAGGAATTCGAGATCACATTATCACCGTAGAGGAAGTGCTTAAAATTCAAATGTTGTATGAATATGCACTTTCCTCCTCCCCGTCTCTGTGAAAGATGGGACATTCAGAGTATGAACTGAGGAAGAAGCACTTAAATTTCAAAACTGAGAGATGTTATACTGATTTCAAAAGTTTTTAGTAAGTACAGTATTTTGTTTGATGAGTGAGGTAGGCAGTGGCATGAAAGAGGATAGTTTTACTTCTTCAGTAGGTAACTGACGATTTTCCGAAAATCGGATTTTCATTCATTTTTGGGGGGGGGTAGTTTTACCATTTTTTTTGTCAGCGTATATTCCCATTTATAAGTCGTTGCTTTATTTCGTAATGGTTCTGTTTCCACAATTTGTGGAATGCATAAAACAAGGATCCAGTGTTTTTTTATTATTATTATTATTATTTATTGGCTGCTACAAGATGTAAGCAAAATGTTACAAAGACTAGTTCGCTTGAACTAACAATCAGTTTTAATTTGACACTAAGTTACTAAGATTATATGAAGTTAAGTTCGCCCATCGGATCCCATAGCTGTCGGGCTGCTTGGCTAGTTCGTAAGGTTTGGTCCGTTTGAGTCGCCTGGTTAGGTTTCCCACATTTAGGAGCCTGGACGTGTTGTCGAAGTCGGTTTTCGTGTGAGGTGGCGTATCTTGCAATAATGGGTGCGACTGTTTCGACACCGAGGTCTCGATGGAGGTCCCTGTTGCGTACATACCAGGGCACATCTGCTATGCGTCTTAGTACTTTGTTCTGGTATCGTTGGATTACTTCGATGTTGCATTTTTTCGCACGTCCCCATAGTTGGACGCCATATGTCTAGACTGGGGGCAGCATTTGTTTATACAGGAGCAGCTTGTTGTACATTGACAGTTCTGATCGACGTCCGATCGGCCAGTACAGTTTTCGAGATTTGATTTGCAGTTCCTCTTGCTTCTTTATGCTCCTTCCATCGGAGTTTGGCGTCAAGTGTCATTCCGAGGTACGCTGTGTTGGCAGGTGGTATTCTTACTCCATTTAGTGAGATTGATCGCTGATTAATCTTTTGAGGACCCAGTGTTTGAAAGACGAATAGTTGAACATAGGAGATAGAACAAAAGGGAACTGTTATTTTCTTCTAATTTCTGTTGTGATTCTGCGCAGTTTAATTACAGATATACAGCCCTTACACATTAAAGAATTAAATGCATTTATAATCTGAAGAATAATGAAAATTGAAGATAGAACCATTAAGAAAACAAAAGAATTAATACGTTGGTAATGTCATAATCCACAGATTCTAGTTGGCGTTATAATTTGTACAGACCATATCGACAGTAGAGGAAGTACCCATTTTCCGCCCACATTGTGGTTGCTTTCAGTTTAAACATCACAGTGTACAGTAGTCGAAATTTTAAACACAGAATAACATTCAAATTAAGAAATTTAAGTTTGCTGTATTACAAATGACGCCTAATCGGGATTGCATCCAAAAACTCTACCGCAATACTTGCCCAGCACTTTAATAGCCTTGGCCATCGTACATATTGGCAAGTGTATGAAACAAATTTCATAATATCTCCGTGTGTTCTCTGTGAGGCCCCCGGTGGGAAACAAACGTTACATCCCAGTCTACAGAGTGGCCTAAAAGTGAGTTACCGTAAACTGTTCACTCGTATTAACAGGAATGTTCTAATTTAAATCTAGCATTCAAATTGTACAACGGCATCACAGCGTTGTGAGTTGTGCATTGATCGTAGAGGATCTCATTTCGAAAAAAAAAAATTGTAAATTCAGTACATAATAACTTTCTAACGTATTTTAGTGTACATTTTACTAAATAATTAACTGACTTTTGAGCCATTCTGTGTTTTAAAATAATTCTCTTTTTTTCTGTCCCATTTACTTTTATGAGCAAAGTAGTTTGTGTTGTAGTTTAATATTCTCTCCTTTCCCTCTGACGGTGTGACATAATGTAAGACAGACTACCGGTCCTTGTAAAACCCACTGCTATTTTACCGGTTCGTGAATCATACTCAGCTGGGAACCATTGACGTAATCTGTGCCTTATGCTTAACGACTAGTAATACTGTTCATTTCGGATATAGAAGCCGCTCTGTTCGTTCAGATGTAGGACTTGTAAATCAAGAACATAAAAATGTTATGATGTATCGCTCAGAGTAAATTCTATTTACGTCTGGATAAGAATCGAAATATTTTGGATACTTGTAGCAAGATGGATATTTTATTCGCCGGAAAAATGCATATCGGTATGCCCTGGCGCACTCCAGTTGCCATTCAAGTACATTTCTCCCTGTTATAACCGTTTTCCCGGAAGCCCCACACACCAGGCACGGAATAATGGTGGAAATGTCGAATTTAAAAGAGAGATTAATTGGTATTACTTCCCAGTTATGTTCAGCTTTACTTATCTGGATTTGGTTTGTCATTTCCTCTGTGCCGCAGATGATGGAGGAAAACTGCCAGAACTCCGACAGCCAACTCCCAAATAGCGAGTGAGAAACTTCTCACCAGTCGCAATGTTTTGGTCGCGACCGGGCAGCTGCATTTCTCAGCCTCTGGTCAGGACAAAGCAAATTTGAAATGGTGTAGGCTGCCACATTACTCCGTGGTGGCACTGCGTGGAGGCTGCCTGTTTCCCCCTGACTTACTTAGATCCAGGTTTCAATGATCACATGTCTGAAACGTCAGACCCATGTTTGGCCACATGCCTGGAACATCAGACCCATGTTTGGACGTGTGCCTGAAAAGTCAGACCCATGTTTGGCCACGTGCCTGGAACAGACCCATGTTTCTCCACATGCCTGAAACGTCAGGCCCATGTTTGGCCACGTGCCTGGAAGATCAGACTCATGTTTCTCCACATGCCTGAAACGGCAGGCCCATGTTTGGCCACATGCCTGAAACATCAGACCCATGTTTTGCCACATGACTGGAACATCAGATCCAGGTTTGAATGGCCACATGTCTCAAACATTAGATATAAGTCTTAACGTTGTAATATGACAAATTTGTCAGTTACCCATTCATTTTTCATTCTTATCCAGAATTTTGAATTACTCATAGTATTAAAAGTACTTTCCAGTCATTTGTCCGATGATAATATGTTGAAGAGTTTCTTCATGGGAAAGGGCTGTCGCTTTGTGTTCAACAAAAGGGTTCACAATCCACATATTTTGCCTCCGGGGATCCTCATGTTCGGGATAATATTTTTCAAACGACAACATCTTCAAGTGGGCTGCAATAATATCTGAAACTGAATTCTGTGAAAAGAAATCATCTGCTTCCATAATATAATCTGAGTACGATTGAAACATTTCATTATTTCCTTCTGCAGTCATATTAAGTCAGAGTTTGAGTTTCTTTTTGAATGATTCGATCTTGTTCCACGCATTAATATTGTTGTAACTGGACCTTGAAGTTTTAAATTCGACTCGTTCATGTAAGAAAATATGGCGCTGAGATATGCCAGCCTGGCTACCCATTTCTTATCCTGGAAATAATGGGACAGATTACTTTTCTTATCAATTAGAAAGAGCTCGACTTCCTTTCGGAGTTCATATAACATCTTGAGAACTTTATCGCGGGACAACCAACGAACTTCCGAATGGAAAAGAAGATTTTGATGATCAGAGCCCATTTCATCCCACAATGCTGTTAAGTCTTGTATTTAAAGCACTGTTTTTATATAATTAATACTCTTAACAGATTGAGACAGGACTTCATTAAGCTAAGGTGCCATTTTTTTGGAAGCCAGGTTTTGCCTATGAATGTAGCAGTGCGTTGACACTAAGTTATTGCCCTCCATATCCTTAATTTTAGTGACCAAACCTGAATTTCTACCTGTAAGACAGGCATCGCCGTCAGTGCAAACTCCAACGCAATTTTTCCATTCGAGACCTCTCTCTTCAATGAAACCATTTGAAACTTTGAAAATTTCACTGCTGGTAGTGTGCGTAGGTAATTCAGAAACACCTAAAATGTCTTCCTTCATGTCACTCTCATCATGGTCAATATATCGTACATACGTAAGTAAAATGCTGCTGTTCTGAATATCTGTAGATTCGTCCAGTTGTAATGCTAACAATTTCGATTTTTTTAATTTTTTAAGTGACTTGCGTTTCTGTATCTTCTGCCATATTAGATATCCGCCTCCTAGCTGTATCATTTGACAATGGGATGTCTTTCATTTTACTTGCCGCAGACTGGCCGTATACTTCATTACAAGCAGCAATCAAAGAAGGCTTAACGAGTTCTTCCCCAATGGAATATGGTGGGTTTTTACATTTAGTTATCTATAGTAATATTAAATAGGATGCCGTCAGAAGTGAAGTGTCAGTGGTTGCAGCTTGGTAAATAATTTTCTTTGCTACTTTAAGTGCATCTCTTTTAGGCATAAAGAATTCAGTGGGTTTGTTGACTAGATCGGAATGTCTTGTGTTGAGATGTTGGGCAAGTCGCGATGGCTTCATAGCTTCATTTCCCAGAACAGTAGCACAAATGACACATTGAGGTCGTGGCAAT